ACATACTCCCTTTAAGACTGGATGAGATGTACACGCCTAGTGTATGATTTTGTTGTTTGTAAGACATGTGACCGATGAAATGCATCTTGATTCACTGAAATTCGGGCCAGAAAGGCAAAATGCATCATGGGATATGTATTTAATTAGTTTTTTCTGCAGTTTTAGATGCAAAAAAAAGTTTTTAATAGTGCAGTTCGAACAATGGCTGATGTGATATTGAAGCAGAGTACAGCAGTTACCTGGATGAAAACAAAGAAAGACACTGATTTCAACCTGCTAAGCTACTAACCAGCTAGTCAAAGCTCAGGGTGAGACATGTCAGAGGAGGAAGAGGAGGAGGAGGAGGATCGCTAGCTAGACGTAAAGATTTACTTGATACACCGCTCCCACTGACATAATAACTCAGCCTCTGAAGCAGATAGATACATGAAATAAAAAACCATTTGAGACATTAAACATTTGGCTTTTATTATAAATTGTTGCCTTTAACCTAATGTTCATCAACATAAAAAAAAGAATCACTAAACCTTAGAGTTTATACTGAACTGAGAATGTTGTCAAATGTGCTTGTTTTTCCAGCTATATCCAGTTTCAAAGGGCAAAGGTCATGATTTATAATAAAAGTTAAATGTCTAAGGTCTCAGGCAGTTTTTATTTCATGTTTCTGTCTGCTTCAGATGCTGAGTAATAAAGATTTTGGTGAGCGTCAAGTCAAAGGAGGTTGTTTTAGAGGGCACCTCAGGTCTTAATGGGTTAAAAGCAACTCCAGTTCAGCTACTAACAACCACTATTCCCAGGTTCATTCACTAAGGATTCTCTCATGATTGAGCCCTGGGCCACATCGAGCGTCGCCTCAGACTGATGGGCAAAAAATCTTTGGTTTTCAGGGCAGTGCTGTGTTTTTGCTTCCAGCCAGTCCACCTCCAGCAGAGCAGCAGCTCTCAGCCTTATCACGGGCATTATCAGACTGTATGTCCGACGGGCAGGAGACGCCCCTCCCCGGTAGGATCAGGGCAGATTATAGGGCTGACAGCATGCATGGGAAACACAGACCTTGTGTCAATCCATGCAGGCCACGTCACACTCACATATGAAAACACAGCCACACAGAGAGGAGGCTTACCAGGAAACGTTACTCTGCCCATCAGAGAAAAGGAGAGCTCCGCTTATTTAACACATGAAGTTCATTTTACTCATCCCGAGGAGTAAGTGCAAACAGTTGTATAATGTCTTCTGTGATCCTGGAGGGAGATTTTCAAGTCTGATAAATAACCCTGATGATGTCATAGTGATGTCATTGGGGTTATTTTTGGCTCATGCTTAAGACTTAAATGTTTTTTTTTTTTTTTTTACAGTAAGCCTTTGTTACAAACTGGAAGTGTGTGGTTAGAAAAACATGAGTCAGGGAAAGTCTAATGAATGAGTTGCATTATGGAAATTGTATGATCCAGTGTTTTTGGAGCTTGGTCCGTACTGGGGACAAGTCCGGGTGTCTCTGCCTCTGCAGGATACATTTTGACCGTTCTTTGTTGAGACCTCTAGACCTTCGTCAGGAAGATTTAAACACTTCTGACGAAGGTCTGGAGAGACCGAACTTTCCAACACCTGCGAATATCTTCATCGAGAAGACTGTTCTTTCTTAAAATGTTTCTTGTCTCTCGTGAGTCCCCCGAACGTTATGAGTGCAAATCAGTTGCCCTTTAAGGTGTTTCCAGGTTTTTGAAAACACCATTAGTCAGAAATGTCAGCCTCAAACATCGGTGTAATTCCTTATGGTGCTCAGAATAAATAAAACTAACATATATACGCAGGTGGCTGTTGATTTACTGAGGCAGGCTGTCCAGATATAATACAAATACATGTGCAGGCAACAGTGAGGTGAGTAAATTGAGAAGACAGGCCCCGTATCTGCTTGTGCAAAAAACAACCAATAAAACTCTTACAAAATTTTTTTTCATCTGCCACCTATATCATTTAAGTTTAGACTCTAAAACTATTTGGTTAATGTTATCTTGTCCTGGTTGAAGGTCCTCAAAGCTTCTTTTCTCCATCAGATTTCTACCATGACTAATGAAATCCTACATGAACACAAAATTGTCGGTCAAAGTTTGAGCAGTTTTAGTGACTTCATATGAAAAAATATTGAGATTTTTGTTGTTTCTGTTTTTCTTGCTGGTTTGAAGTGGGCGGGACTAATTTGGAACAAGGTGATGTCACATTTATGCGCCCAAATATGAGTTTTTTTTTAAACATTTGACTCAAGACCCACAGTCTCAGCTGTCAACATCAAACACTATAACAACAGCAGTAACAGTGTCACTATATTTTCTACGAACAGAAAACTGGACATTTGTAAACATCTGAACATACAACGCTGCAGTCTACTTCCTGGTTGGGGAAGTCTTGTATTGAGAACATCAGTAATAGCAGTCATTACCATCACAATCATGATGATAATGGTTCATGGAGAAGTGGCTGCTATTAACAACAAAGTGCGGAAGACAAAATGCAACATTACTCTAATAAAAAATAAACAAAACCATTTCCTCCCCATTACTGCGTTATACCACCAGACCACAGAGCCGTTTTACACTGACTCCATCTCTTTACTTTCCTCTCAGTGATTATGGTCTTTTCTCCATAAAGCCCTTACTGTTGTCCTTTGAGAAAATACCACTGGCCTTCCACATCTATCATGCTGCCAGAAGATATAAAAACATGGCTTCTCTTGGAGGGGGGGGGGGGGGGGGTAACCCATCCCAAAGCCTGGAGGCCTCTCAGCATCAGAAATAGTGAAAGATTTTACTTGTTTCTCTGGAACAAAGTGCAGAGCTCCAATATGCTGAGCCTGTGTGTCTGTATCCCATGATCCACTGCAGACCTCGCACTCACATGACATCATAAAAAAAAAAGAAAAAAAAAAAAAGCTTAATTCAAAGTGACTTTCGGGTTGTGTTACTTATGTATTCCATGCATCCGTGCGGCATCTTGTCGAAGAATTTTTTCATACGAGAGCAAGGTCACCTATATATAAGCAACACTGCATTGTTCCTGTGAAAGCCTGCGGTGTGGACCAAAGACAGAATTACACTGCACACAGAGGAGAGAGGCAGGAAACAGCCATTGAAGAGAGTAAGCGATGATAATGAAACCACTTCCCTCTCTCGCTGCACCTGCCACACTGACACACACCTCGACTACGATATCTATCATTCGAAGGGTACTTAACGCTTCAGGGTTAAAACCTCTGCTCATGTGTATACAAGTTATGAGTGTGTGTGTGTGTGTGTGTGTGTGCAGGCAAGTCTGTTTATGAGCCCGAGTGACTGAGGGAGTAGTGCTCCAGCACACATTTATCTTCTTATGTAACAACTAGACTAGCATTAGCACATGCAGGCTAAACACTGCCTCGACCCACCAAAACATCAGCAGCAGGAGTCTGCAGCCCGAGCAAACTGAGCCAAGCAGGTTTCCGTAGGACACGATCCCCCAAATGCAGATCAATTTGTTCGGGTCACGCCACCGCCGTGCGCTACATTCCCATTAACCTAAGGTTAGGACCCAACAACAGCCACATTATCAGCTCTCTCATCATTCTTTTCATTATTAGCCACCAGAGAATGACCACAGCGCCCTCCGGCCCTACAACAGCCGCTCATGTGACTCCTTTGAATATTCCTGGGTGGGGAGGAGGCAAGGCGACTTTCTGCACAGATTTCACTTCTTGGTGCCTAATGCCAGGCCTGACAGAAACCAGTTAAATCTGAGAGGATTATACTGAAGGCGTGCAACAGCTGGGTGGCATTTAGGGAAGAAAATGGAGAGGCAAATGCATCAAGTAGTGCATGGTATGAAAGGGTCTGAGTCAGATATAAGCAGGCTTGTTTCTTATTATCTCAAAGGAAAGGAGAGCAGAGGTCTTTAACACCTTAGTGACAGATGATAATTAAAGGTGGCATGTTGTACATCCCGAGGGCCCCTGGGCCCCTGCCTCTTATTTTATTTATGTAGCCCCCTCACTGCTGTCAATCAGAAGTCATCTGTATGGATAAAATGATAAAGCACATGTTTTGCATGTTATGTGAGATGCAGAGATAAGGGGGTGTGGGATAACTGAGCAGACCACAAGCTGCATTATTAGCACTCTGGTTGGTTAGAAAAGCTCAACCTATTACAAGTGTTATAATCTAATTTGCAAAGTCTCCTATAATGGCCTTGAATCATTTAACTCATATTATGGTCATCCAACTGGTCTGTAGGTAAATTGCATAAACTTATTACTGAAAGACGTTTTACAGAATTCAATAACCTATCAGTTTATAATATTACTATGTGACAAAATAGCGTTAAGTGCTGCGGCTCAGCCAATGCAATTCATTACACACATACTCAGCGGTCTCATCAGGAATATTAGAGCCTTGGCAATTATCAGCAGGAGAAGAAATTAGGCAGCTAATAACGGCTTTCTTTTTTTCCTACTGTTTTTGAATGCACCTCGTGGCTGTGAGGCTGAGGAGGACACCTGCACGGTCCACTACCATGCGCATCCATCCTCGCCTCTTGTCCCGCGTTGAGATCATTCATAAAAAATGGCAGGCCTGTGCTGCTATCACCTCATTGGCTGCGCAAAATAAGGTTTTTCTGCCTTTTAATTTCAGCGAGTTGCTCGATTGAAGCACTCATAAGATAAAGCACCGTGACGCGCACCCTGAGATCTGAGCACAGGAATAAAGCGCGTGTCTTAATGCGATGAAACAAACTGCAGGGGGGTACACGGGAATGTTTTCAGCTCACACACTCTTGGTTGTGCTATAGGCTACTCGGCGGTTTATTGTCACCACACAGCCGGAATTCGCAGCGTTTCTGTGGGTAAACAAAACCCGCCTGTGTCGCTTTTCCAGAAGCTGAAACATCATTAATGGTAGCATCACAGGACACATTAGGATAATAGTTTGGATAGGCTAAATATACGTGTGTGCATGTCGACCCCCTTTCCTTACCCGATAAAGCCGAGGCAGTGTCGGTGCAGCTGGGGATGGGGGGGTTATCCCTGCTCCGGTTCAGCGGGGCTGGTGTGTAGGACAGCCGGGAAGAGATGCAGGAACGCGGGGCTCGCTCTGGACGCTTCCCTCCTGGACGAATAGTGATGCTTGGACCGTCCGAGACCTCTGTTTCTTACTGCACGCTCACACACGCATCCACACACACACACACCACGCACACACAAACACACACACACACAAACCGAGTGGCCGGCTGAGTGACTGACTGACTAAGTGGCCCTTGGCTACAGCAGCCGAGCCCTGCAAACCATGTTACTATGCAGGCGAGAGGCAGCAGTGATGGTGCTGCGGTGCGGAGCTGGTTCTGGCTGCTGCTGCTGCTGCTGCTGCTGCTGCTGGCGTTTCCTCTCCTCCAGGGGCCGGGACGGGATGGCAGCGGAGGACAGTGTTTTAAAGTGGTGTGCGCCGGTGGAGTGGATTTAAATGGGGGGATGGTGTCGCCGGGATTACGTGGTAGGGGTTTAATTAGATAGCGCTGCGCCTATTGGCACCGACATTGCGCACAGCCCTCCTCCTACTCTCCTCTCTCTCTCTCCCTCTCTCTCTCTCTCTCTCCCAGTGAGATAGATAGATGTGTGTGTGTGTGTGTGTGTGTGTGTGCGTGTCACAACATAGAATAATGGCGTACCATGCTGTGTGTATAATAATATAGTTCACTGCTCCGCATTTCTGTTGTCAGTGATTGGAGATGAGGAGTGCACATGGGGTCACAAACAAGCACCTTGGCTACACTATAAAATGTAAATACACAATAAATCACTGTAATGTTCCCATATAGAGAAAACAGCCTGCTGTGCTTATGGTACAGTCATACATTTTTAATCGCTACAGCAGCTGATCCCTTTGGTTATAGCAATGTACCAGAAATGAACAAAAACAGTCATTAACCAAGTTTCAATCCAAATCAATTTCTAGGTTAAATGTGCGTTTCCATCCACTTCTGTTATGTGAACATTAGGAGCTGAGTGCATCCAGATAAATAGTTTAATGGTACTCCAGGCAGCTGCTATCAAGCCGCTGAAGAAGAAGAGGCTGAAATGAAACGGCATGATTAAAAGAGGACCTGTCAATCCTCAAATGATGGAGAGCAATGTTGAAAGCGGTGATTGAAAGGTGATTTTGGTGTAGTGGTCAGAGTTGGTACTGCAACATCCAGCAGCATCATGTGACACAAACTGGCCCAGAATCCCTTTTCCCCACACAATTACTAGAAATTGAGCATTTGTATTAGGTCTAGTCCACACATACGCAGGTACTGTTATTTTAAAACGTAGCTTTTTCTATGTTTGCATGTGGCCTTGCGTTTTAGGTCACTGACAACTAACTTTTTGCAAAGCTCCCTCCAGGGCGAAGATGTTCAGAAACTCCAGCCCAGTCCTAATGTCCACCCTCATGGACTCACAGACAGACACTGTAAAATCATCAAGTGCAGGAGGGATCTGTAGCAGACATTTAAGGCCCTTTATGCACACTTTCTGTAGGTCATTTCTATAGACTTTGCTTAAGGGAATCACCCATAGCTCATAGTGTTGTGATTTCACATTCAGGGTTACCATGGTTACCAGGGGACACCGGGAAGTGTAAAAAAAAAAAAAGGTAAACAATCACCATAAAACAGAAAAAAGAAAAAGATAGAAGAACGGTTAACAAACAAGCATGAAAGGAACAAACCCAAACGTTTCCATAGAACTGTGTGTGGTTCCTAGTGAGCCTGTGATGGCATGATGATGAATTCCACATCTGCTTTCATCAGATCTGAACCAACATTAATAGTTTGTTTACAAACAGGGAGCTCAGGGAGGAAATACAACATGTAGAAGGCTGCAGGCAGCATGTTTCATGCATGTTTCGTGCTGTCCCATTTTTTCTTCATAGCATTTTGAGCCCTTGCAGCCTCTCACACTCAAGCACTTACCAGGTGCCGTCAGTTAAGTCTGTGAGGGTTCAGGGTTCGGGTCTTAGGGGGGATGTTAGGACTGGGCCTCTGTTTTTGGGGTGTGAGGTTATAACTTTTCAGGGTTCTGATTGGCCAACTTGACTTTAAGGTGAGGATTATATCGCTGCCTTTTGGTTTGGCATGTTTTTGCGTTTGTGTGGATGCAATTTTTTTAACCAAGAAAAACCCCCTTTTCAATAAATATCTTTGTACGTGTGGACTAGGCCTCTGAGCATCATAAACCCCCTGAAATGAAATGTATTTTCATAATTTGATCCATTTGATGTTTCATAGGAATGAATAGGGAACCACCTTTGAATGAAAACACTCCTGTTTTTTATTCACAAAATGAAAATGCACATAAAACAGGTTGATTGAAACAGATTCTCTGCTCTTTTTATAGTGCAACCCCACTGTTTCTCATATGGAGGCACACACACACACACACACACACACACACACACACACACACACACACACACGCATCAGAAAATTTGGATCTGACGCACTCAGTGTTATCAGTGTTGCAGGGAGTACCAGCCCTGACACACATACACACACTCAGAGGTTTGCCATCTGAGCCAGACATCAGTCGTACTTTGTCACACCTCACAGAACTTGAGAGAGCCGTGGGAAGGCTTTTTTATTAACTCCAAAGGTTGGAGATGACTCATGGTCGGTGGTCTCTCCGGACTAAGTTTGTCTGCTCATTGAAAGGACAGCTGGCCTGCGTAACCAGCACTACCCGACAGGAAAATCAAAAATGACACATACCTAAAGGGAGCACACAGGCGCCTGGAGCAGCAACCATTTCCTCCGACAATTTGTGCCATGATGTGTTTTAGACGAGGAATGTGAGGCAGAGGTTTTTTCAAGGATGGTCAGCTTCTTAATTAACCACTGTAGCATCTGATGATCATGTCTAATTACCTCTTAGTCATTTAGTCAAAGACGTATTCTGTTGACGTGGCCGGTGTGTGCCCTCTGCTCAACACATCATTCATTTTAATGAAAGCCAGTTTTTCAAAATGTGATCAGAACATCACAGACAGCGTATCACTTCTTAAAAGAGTGCAAAACTCAATATTGTGTGAATGAAGTGATTGTGAACATGAGGGGGAGGCTGATGAAAATCAGAGGTTGAAAGTTATGACTCTGATTATAAGGAATAATTTATAAATGATGTTGTTGCCAAGATATCGCACACTGGCATTTAAATGAAGAAGCGGAGAAGGAATCACAGCAGGGATGGACGAATCAAATGCCGAATGAGATACGAGTGGAGGATGGCAGGAGTGGAATTACAATTGCCACGCACAGCATGTTCATATCATGCGCAAGTCTCTGTCCAGATAATTGATGGAGATGTTGTTCTTGTGGATGCAGGGGGGGGGGGGGGGGGGTCTTATAGTCCAAGACAAAGTGAGGGAGAAACCACAACCTTGAACCTAGAGCAGGTTGTCCACTAATCAGAAGGTTGGTGGTTCAATCTCCGCCTCCTCTGGTCCGCTTGTTGAATTGTCCTTGGGCAAGATACTGAACCCCAAATTGCCTCTGATGGCTCTTCCATCAGTGTGAGTGATTGGGTGAATATGACAAGTATTGTAAAGCACTTTCAGTGATCTCTAAGACTAGAAAAGTGCTATTTAAGTGCAGTCCATTTAACATTCAGCCCTTTTGATTTCACGCCTCTTCTTAGTCTTTGTGGACACAAAGTATTTGCTGCTATAATCAATAATTTCATATGAATAGTGGTTCACCTGATAAAAGGGATCGATCCCAGTGGTGAGCTCATTGTTGTTGCAGCTAAAGACACAAATATTTTCTTCAGTAATTGGTGGAGACCCAAACGAGAGCAAAAAGAGAGTGAAGATTAGACTTATATTCATCTGGTTGCCAAAAACACGACTCCAAATAAACTGTAATGTTGCTCGATGTCGATGCCACTTCAACTTGAAAGCTGTCATTTCAGTATTGTGTTTACCTGCTGTTTCCGCTGCAGAAGAACTGCTATTGCAGGTTTTATATCGCTGTTTTCGCTGACAGTAATTAACATAATTTCCCCAAATCCCAAAATCATTGCAGGTTAAATGTCACTATGTCAAGGTGAGCAGAAAGTGAGGATGAACATGGAGGATGGAAAAGTGTAGAGGATCTTAGACAGGAGAGATCACAGCTACAGTTAAAAAAAAAAATGACACTAGGAGAGGGCACATGGATATCATAGATAAGGGAGAAAGAGTTATAATAACATAGTGCACATACGGCTGTGCTGAAAGAATGGGAGCTGTGAGTTGTTAAAAAATTAATTGCTGTTTAATGTAGTTAAAATCACAAAGGCTTTGAATTCTAACTTCCTGTAGTAGATAATCATTAATCTTAGAATATGGACAGTAAACCCCAGGAGCGTGTTTCATGTTTTCAGAAAGACTGATGAAAGGAACCGTGAACGAGAGAATGTGGATATCACAAAGATTACAAATAGAAATTTTATGACTTTTCCATATATTTTTTCATAACTAAGTTGGAGCGTTTCCATATAAACACATCATTCCCAGTGTTTTGTGTAGTGTGTAGTGTGTAGTGTACTGTATATATAGCAAGGCTTGAAGTAAGGCTGTTAATAAACCGTAGTTTATTAGCAACGACCACACATCGTTAAACATATCATAGTTGCCGTACACATATATTATACTAAGTGAGATTTTCTAACCATATTAGAGACTGTCCTCCTGTAAAAAGGTCGTTTGTACAACAGATTATTATGACCCGTAGTAACATTTTGTTGTTTGGCGACATCTAGTGGCCCTAGTAATTACGACAGGAGCAAAGGGAAAAGTGCGGTGACGTCGTATAAAGAGCGGCAAATTCCATGTTTGGAGGAGGTTGTGGTGGATGGATGGGTCAACAAAACACAGGAATGTGACACAGGAGATCGGAGTTAACCTTGACCGTTCGCCAAAATGAACCAGGTTGTTATTATTGTAACCATGACAACAAAAATCGTCTAATGTTGAGGAGAAGTTTTTTTATTTTAAAGCAAATCGCGGTCTTTTCCTAACCTAAACCTAACCAAGCCGTGACTGTTATTACAGTAACCATGGCGACAAAGGTAGGTACACCCCTCCTGTTACAGTGTTTATTACTGTAACCATGATAACCGAGGTCCGGTACGTATCTGAGGGTTGAAAAAAGACGGGTTTTGCAGAATTATAGGATTAGACAGGGGTGCTGGAATACATGTCTCTAACATTATACTGTACATTATGACCAGTAGCCCCTCCATTATCTGCTCATCACAGGGTTGGTGGGTAGATCCAGTCCTGGCAGTAGAGCTTCATTATATGTACATTTATGTGAAGTGTCAGTGGTTTGTTGGGTGAGCATCAGTGCTGTTGTATCTGCAGGAGGAGAGAGGAGATAAAGCAGAAAC